GAAGAGTGCTGGGCGAGCAGCATTACCATTAGAAGAGAGCTGGGCGAGCAGCATTACCATTAGAAGAGTGCTGGGCGAGCAGCATTACCATTAGAAGAGTGCTGGGCGAGCAGCATTACCATTAGAAGAGAGCTGGGCGAGCAGCATTACCATTAGAAGAGAGCTGGGCGAGCAGCATTACCATTAGAAGAGAGCTGGGCGAGCAGCATTACCATTAGAAGAGAGCTGGGCGAGCAGCATTACCATTAGAAGAGAGCTGGGCGAGCAGCATTACCATTAGAAGAGAGCTGGGCGAGCAGCATTACCATTAGAAGAGAGCTGGGCGAGCAGCATTACCATTAGAAGAGAGCTGGGCGAGCAGCATTACCATTAGAAGAGAGCTGGGCGAGCAGCATTACCATTAGAAGAGAGCTGGGCGAGCAGCATTACCATTAGAAGAGTGCTGGGCGAGCAGCATTACCATTAGAAGAGAGCTGGGCGAGCAGCATTACCATTAGAAGAGAGCTGGGCGAGCAGCATTACCATTAGAAGAGTGCTGGGCGAGCAGCATTACCATTAGAAGAGAGCTGGGCGAGCAGCATTACCATTAGAAGAGAGCTGGGCGAGCAGCATTACCATTAGAAGAGAGCTGGGCGAGCAGCATTACCATTAGAATGGGCGAGCAGCATTACCATTAGAAGAGAGCTGGGCGAGCAGCATTACCATTAGAAGAGAGCTGGGCGAGCAGCATTACCATTAGAAGAGTGCTGGGCGAGCAGCATTACCATTAGAAGAGAGCTGGGCGAGCAGCATTACCATTAGAAGAGAGCTGGGCGAGCAGCATTACCATTAGAAGAGAGCTGGGCGAGCAGCATTACCATTAGAAGAGAGCTGGGCGAGCAGCATTACCATTAGAAGAGAGTTGGGGGAGCAGCATTACCATTAGAAGAGAGCTGGGCGAGCAGCATTACCATTAGAAGAGAGCTGGGCGAGCAGCATTACCATTAGAAGAGAGCTGGGCGAGCAGCATTACCATTAGAAGAGAGCTGGGCGAGCAGCATTACCATTAGAAGAGAGCTGGGCGAGCAGCATTACCATTAGAAGAGAGCTGGGCGAGCAGCATTACCATTAGAAGAGAGCTGGGCGAGCAGCATTACCTTAAGAAGAGAGCTGGGCGAGCAGCATTACCATTAGAAGAGAGCTGGGCGAGCAGCATTACCATTAGAAGAGAGCTGGGCGAGCAGCATTACCATTAGAAGAGAGCTGGGCGAGCAGCATTACCATTAGAAGAGTGCTGGGCGAGCAGCATTACCATTAGAAGAGAGCTGGGCGAGCAGCATTACCATTAGAAGAGAGCTGGCGAGCAGCATTACCATTAGAAGAGAGCTGGGCGAGCAGCATTACCATTAGAAGAGAGCTGGGCGAGCAGCATTACCATTAGAAGAGAGCTGGGCGAGCAGCATTACCATTAGAAGAGTGCTGGGCGAGCAGCATTACCATTAGAAGAGAGCTGGGCGAGCAGCATTACCATTAGAAGAGTGCTGGGCGAGCAGCATTACCATTAGAAGAGAGCTGGGCGAGCAGCATTACCATTATAAGAGAGCTGGGCGAGCAGCATTACCATTATAAGAGAGCTGGGCGAGCAGCATTACCATTACAGCATTACCATTGGAAGAGAGCTGGGCGAGCAGCATTACCATTGGAAGAGAGCTGGGCGAGCAGCATTACCATTAGAAGAGAGCTGGGCGAGCAGCATTACCATTAGAAGAGAGCTGGGCGAGCAGCATTACCATTGGAAGAGAGTTGGGCGAGCAGCATTACCATTAGAAGAGAGCTGGGCGAGCAGCATTACCATTGGAAGAGAGCTGGGCGAGCAGCATTACCATTAGAAGAGAGCTGGGCGAGCAGCATTACCATTAGAAGAGAGCTGGGCGAGCAGCATTACCATTAGAAGAGAGCTGGGCGAGCAGCATTACCATTAGAAGAGAGCTGGGCGAGCAGCATTACCATTAGAAGAGAGCTGGGCGAGCAGCATTACCATTAGAAGAGAGCTGGGCGAGCAGCATTACCATTAGAAGAGAGCTGGGCGAGCAGCATTACCATTAGAAGAGAGCTGGGCGAGCAGCATTACCATTAGAAGAGTGTTGGGCGAGCAGCATTACCATTAGAAGAGTGCTGGGCGAGCAGCATTACCATTAGAAGAGAGCTGGGCGAGCAGCATTACCATTAGAAGAGTGCTGGGCGAGCAGCATTACCATTAGAAGAGTGCTGGGCGAGCAGCATTACCATTAGAAGAGAGCTGGGCGAGCAGCATTACCATTAGAAGAGAGCTGGGCGAGCAGCATTACCATTAGAAGAGAGCTGGGCGAGCAGCATTACCATTAGAAGAGAGCTGGGCGAGCAGCATTACCATTAGAAGAGAGCTGGGCGAGCAGCATTACCATTAGAAGAGAGCTGGGCGAGCAGCATTACCATTAGAAGAGAGCTGGGCGAGCAGCATTACCATTAGAAGAGAGCTGGGCGAGCAGCATTACCATTAGAAGAGAGCTGGGCGAGCAGCATTACCATTAGAAGAGAGCTGGGCGAGCAGCATTACCATTAGAAGAGAGCTGGGCGAGCAGCATTACCATTAGAAGAGTGCTGGGCGAGCAGCATTACCATTAGAAGAGAGCTGGGCGAGCAGCATTACCATTAGAAGAGAGCTGGGCGAGCAGCATTACCATTAGAAGAGTGCTGGGCGAGCAGCATTACCATTAGAAGAGAGCTGGGCGAGCAGCATTACCATTAGAAGAGAGCTGGGCGAGCAGCATTACCATTAGAAGAGAGCTGGGCGAGCAGCATTACCATTAGAATGGGCGAGCAGCATTACCATTAGAAGAGAGCTGGGCGAGCAGCATTACCATTAGAAGAGAGCTGGGCGAGCAGCATTACCATTAGAAGAGAGCTGGGCGAGCAGCATTACCATTAGAAGAGAGCTGGGCGAGCAGCATTACCATTAGAAGAGAGCTGGGCGAGCAGCATTACCATTAGAAGAGAGCTGGGCGAGCAGCATTACCATTAGAAGAGAGCTGGGCGAGCAGCATTACCTTAAGAAGAGAGCTGGGCGAGCAGCATTACCATTAGAAGAGAGCTGGGCGAGCAGCATTACCATTAGAAGAGAGCTGGGCGAGCAGCATTACCATTAGAAGAGAGCTGGGCGAGCAGCATTACCATTAGAAGAGTGCTGGGCGAGCAGCATTACCATTAGAAGAGAGCTGGGCGAGCAGCATTACCATTAGAAGAGAGCTGGCGAGCAGCATTACCATTAGAAGAGAGCTGGGCGAGCAGCATTACCATTAGAAGAGAGCTGGGCGAGCAGCATTACCATTAGAAGAGAGCTGGGCGAGCAGCATTACCATTAGAAGAGTGCTGGGCGAGCAGCATTACCATTAGAAGAGAGCTGGGCGAGCAGCATTACCATTAGAAGAGTGCTGGGCGAGCAGCATTACCATTAGAAGAGAGCTGGGCGAGCAGCATTACCATTATAAGAGAGCTGGGCGAGCAGCATTACCATTATAAGAGAGCTGGGCGAGCAGCATTACCATTGGAAGAGAGCTGGGCGAGCAGCATTACCATTAGAAGAGAGCTGGGCGAGCAGCATTACCATTAGAAGAGAGCTGGGCGAGCAGCATTACCATTGGAAGAGAGCTGGGCGAGCAGCATTACCATTAGAAGAGAGCTGGGCGAGCAGCATTACCATTGGAAGAGAGCTGGGCGAGCAGCATTACCATTAGAAGAGAGCTGGGCGAGCAGCATTACCATTAGAAGAGAGCTGGGCGAGCAGCATTACCATTAGAAGAGAGCTGGGCGAGCAGCATTACAATTAGAAGAGAGCTGGGCGAGCAGCATTACCATTAGAAGAGAGCTGGGCGAGCAGCATTACCATTAGAAGAGAGCTGGGCGAGCAGCATTACCATTAGAAGAGAGCTGGGCGAGCAGCATTACCATTAGAAGAGAGCTGGGCGAGCAGCATTACCATTAGAAGAGTGCTGGGCGAGCAGCATTACCATTAGAAGAGTGCTGGGCGAGCAGCATTACCATTAGAAGAGAGCTGGGCGAGCAGCATTACCATTAGAAGAGTGCTGGGCGAGCAGCATTACCATTAGAAGAGTGCTGGGCGAGCAGCATTACCATTAGAAGAGAGCTGGGCGAGCAGCATTACCATTAGAAGAGAGCTGGGCGAGCAGCATTACCATTAGAAGAGAGCTGGGCGAGCAGCATTACCATTAGAAGAGAGCTGGGCGAGCAGCATTACCATTAGAAGAGAGCTGGGCGAGCAGCATTACCATTAGAAGAGTGCTGGGCGAGCAGCATTACCATTAGAAGAGAGCTGGGCGAGCAGCATTACCATTAGAAGAGTGCTGGGCGAGCAGCATTACCATTAGAAGAGAGCTGGGCGAGCAGCATTACCATTATAAGAGAGCTGGGCGAGCAGCATTACCATTATAAGAGAGCTGGGCGAGCAGCATTGCCATTACAGCATTACCATTAAAAGATAGCTGGGCGAGCAGCATTACCATTGGAAGAGAGCTGGGCGAGCAGCATTACCATTAGAAGAGAGCTGGGCGAGCAGCATTACCATTAGAAGAGAGCTGGGCGAGCAGCATTACCATTAGAAGAGAGCTGGGCGAGCAGCATTACCATTAGAAGAGAGCTGGGCGAGCAGCATTACCATTAGAAGAGTGCTGGGCGAGCAGCATTACCATTAGAAGAGAGCTGGGCGAGCAGCATTACCATTAGAAGAGAGCTGGGCGAGCAGCATTACCATTAGAAGAGTGCTGGGCGAGCAGCATTACCATTAGAAGAGAGCTGGGCGAGCAGCATTACCATTAGAAGAGAGCTGGGCGAGCAGCATTACCATTAGAAGAGTGCTCTGCGAGCAGCATTACCATTAGAAGAGAGCTGGGCGAGCAGCATTACCATTAGAAGAGTGCTCTGCGAGCAGCATTACCATTAGAAGAGAGCTGGGCGAGCAGCATTACCGTTACAAGACGACCCGATTGACTTGACCTCGCCTGTAGTCCCTCCCATGCCATGCCACCATTGCTGTGCCTGCTGGTGAGATGGTGGCGCAGGAGGGTATGAGAGGAGAGAAGGAGGTTTGAAGAAGCAGAGGGGAAGGAAGCGAGAGTGGACGGCGCATGGAGCTTTAAGGAGATGGAAGAAAGGAGAGGGCAAGGATCGCACTCTGGAAAAAGCGCTCGGTTGATTCGCCCTTGCTGGTTGTCCCTTGCTGTTATTGCTGCTGCTGCCACTCCCGTGCCATGCTGTGTTCGACTGCAGGATGACAGGCAGGGGAGGGGGAGACAAGGAAGGAACGGGAGGAGCGGCGATGATGTTCCAATCAAAGTAGAAAGAGAGAGGGCTGGCTAGACGAGAGGATCTTATCATGCAACATGCGAATGCCTGCTTGACCGAAAAGACAGAAAAGGAGTGGCAAGGGAGACTAAACTGACGGGCAGCAGGAGGGGCATACCACATCGTGTCTGCCCATTGTGTTCCCTTCGGGCTCCCCCTTTGCTGCCTCACCTTGCTGTCCCCGCCTGCTGGAAGAGAGAGAGGGAAAGGAAGAGTGGTGACAAGGAAGAAAATAAGGAGAGAAGAGCGAAGTGCAGTCATACAGAACGGAATGGGGGGAAAGGGAGGGCGGGGGAAGAGAGTGGAAGGCAAGGAGGCAACTGCAAGTGAGTGGGAGGCAATGATGCAACTGCAAGTGAGTGGAGGCAATGCGGCAACACTCACTCAACTTTTGATCGCTCCGATTCAAGAATGGGCTCATTTGTTTCGAGCACGCGGTGACGGAATAATGCGGTACAAAAGTGGGCAATGATAAACACGAAGCAGAAGCGGGTAAGGATGGCAAGGGCGAAGAGAGAGGGAACTTAGCCGTATAGGGGTGCTTGCAGGACAGTGGCGTCAGGCTTCCAGGAGGCTCGCACACCGCTGTGACTGCCTGCCGTGCGTCATCCCACCGCCCTCCCTCCCCGCACCACGCTGCCATAGCACCAGACGAGATGAGAAGGAGAGCAAGAAAACAGAGCAGTGGAAAGGGACCCCAGTAGTCAGTAGAAGCATGAAAGTAGTGAAATGCATGCAAGGAGGCAGAGATAACAAGAACGATGAGAGAGGAAACGAAAGTTGAAGATAAAAAGCACGTGGCACTGTGACGATGTGAAAGAGGAGGCGATGGTAGCACACAGCACTAGGGCGCCGAGCTAGCAGGCATTTAACGAAGAGACGCAGCATGATTATGAATGCATTCTATTCTACCCCCTACGACTCTAGTATGAGCTCAAGCCGCCCCAATGCCATGCGCTACCATCGCCAAACGCCGCTCATCTCTCACTCAACTTTTGATCGCTCCCATTCGAAAATGGGCTCATTTGTTTCGAGCACGCGGTGACGGAAGAATGCGGTACAAAAGTGGGCAATGATAAACACGAAGCAGAAGCGGGTAAGGATGGCAAGGGCGACGGGAGAGGGAACTTAGCCGTATGGGAGTGCTTGCAGGACAGTGGCGCCAGGCTTCCAGGAGGCTCGCACACCGCTGTGACTGCCTGCCGTGCGTCATCCCACCGCCCTCCCTCCCCGCACCATGCTGCCATACCACCAGACGAGAGGGGTGGAGCGAAGAAGAGCAAGAGAACCCAAGTAGTCAGTAGAAGCATGAAAGTAGTGAAATGCATGGAAGGAGGCAGAGATAACAAGAACGATGAAAGTTGAAGCCGTGACGCTGTGAAAGGGGTGGCGATGGTAGCACACAGCACTAGGGCGCCGAGCTAGCAGGCATTTAACGAAGGGACGCAGCATGATTATGAATGCATTCTATTCTAACCCCCTACGACTCTAGTATGAGCTCAAGCCGCCCCAATGCCATGCGCTACCATCGCCAAACGCCGCTCATCTCTCTCTCACAACTTTTGGTCGCTCCCATTCGAAAATGGGCTCATTGTTTCGAGCACGCGGTGACGGAAGAATGCGGTACAAAAGTGGGCAATGATAAACACGAAGCAGAAGCGGTTAAGGGGGGAGCAGGGAGAAGGGCGAAGGGAGAGGGAACTTAACCGTATGGGGGTGAAGCAGCGAAGCAGTCATCGTCCCAGTCAGCAGCTGTATCCATGCTGCTGCTTCTATTGCATCTCTGAATGAGAGTCACTCGTTGCTGTTGGTATCATTCCGACCACCCTCGCATTCGCCTCTGTTGGTATACAGCATTTAAATCGTCACTGTAGAAATTTCCATCTCAATAGTCAGCGTCGGCAGTGTCGCTCCAGTCGTCACCGTGAGGAGTCACCATCTCGATCGTCATCGTCAGTAAGCGTCGCGTCGATCGTCACCGTCAGAAAGCGTCGCGTCGATCGTCATCGTCAGAAAGCGTCGATCGTCGAAATTTTGCAATCCTGATCAATCCCCATCATCACAGACGGAAAACGTCACTTCAGTCGTTAGGATCGGGAATCGTCGTAATGATAGTCACTTTAAGGTATCGCAATCCGAGTCGTCATCTTCCGTAAGAGCCGCTTTAATCGTCGACGGCCTGCTCGTTATTGTAGAAAAGCGTCACTTCAATTGTCACCGTTAAAAGTCACCATCTCGATCGTCACCGTCAGAAATCGTCGGTTCGGTCGTCAGCGTCAGTAATCGTCCTTTTGATCGCCACCTTCATAAGCGGCAGTCGCTAACCGTTGTTGGAAGTGGCTGTGTCGTTCATCACTGTCAGGAGACACCCGCTCAATCACAGTTGGCGACGTATCGCCTTTTGAAGTCCGAAGTACTCATCGCTGACCTCGTAGTACGAACATTCGCCGTGTAAAACAGCTGTCGCCGCCACGATATCCGCCTCCGTCATCACTAAATCGAAACGTTCTCGCTGCTGGAGAACGGCGTCGCCTCGGTACTGGAAGGAGCGTATGGAGATCGAAAGAATATTTATGAGGCATCTTGGCATCCCCCTCTGTTCCGCGCTCGTCAGATGTCTAGGATAATTAAATTAAGTTGTTCTGAAAACTGGAATCAGAACTGCAGTCAAGAGAGTAATTGCTGGATGGCGGAAATGAAACTGCTTCAAATGACTATAATCTCTAGCTTCGAATGTCTCTGTCCGACAATCAGACGTAAAGCTCGGTTTACTTCTTAACGATGACTACGAGTAAGGTTAAAAGGTTACTGGTTCGCGTCAGGAGACACAGCCATGAATTGCAACGATTAGTGATTTCCGTCTTGACGACCTTGAGATACACGTATCTGAAGATAACGAAGACTAACGATACGAGTGAGAACTGTTAATGGTTTGTAACAATATCGCGACCGCCATGGATTTTGGCTTAGCAAGCCTATCCTCGAAATCTGAGTGAACTGTTGTGACCATGGTGAGAAGGAATGGCATTCAGGGAAGCTGGAGTATGGATTGCAGAAAGGAAGGTGACCATCAGTGAAAGAAGCCATGTTCAAAGGACCAATTCAGGGGATCTAGACGGATTAAGAGTGGTTAAAAACGATTCACAGGAACGACTAACCATTTCTCCTGCTTGGGTGGAGGGCGCCGCACCGGCGGCGGAAGGTGGCAAATTCGTGAGTGAGTTGACAACGGGGATACCCATTTCGTTAGCTGAAGGTACGACTCGCGGAATTCCTAGAATCTCCGCTGCACGGGGGTCCCGCATGTTCGCCGTTCGCGCGGGAATCGTCTGTCAGAAGAATGCTTCTGACAGGACGACGCGATGATGTAATGTAGCGCCATGACCCAATGATAACCAATTATACTATAAATTGTATGAAACATCAACAGTATAACCATATGATCTTCTTGTGAGTATGAAAGTTCCTGCATTATTCATGCAATACATTGTACTGAATAAATCACACCTAAAATTGCACGTCCTCATCCCCTCAAATATGCTATCTTTATCACACCCATTAGTCTGCATGTGTGCTTCTGAAAACAATGTGAGGGAAACATATTGCTTATAACCCAAGAACAGAGTACAGTCACAGCTGTGCTTGTAAAAGGAGTTGCGAAACACTGACGACCGCGGAAAAAGGCCGTTTCACTTGGATCTCCTGGCTGTCTATTGCAGGACACCGAGGCAACTTCGAAGGATTTTTCCGAAAAGCTTTTCGTCCCCCATTCTTGCGAGGTGGATTCTATTTTTCGGGATTTCCCCACTGGCTCTTCTCGAACCTATACACGAGTGATTGATCTCCTCTTGTCTCCCAAGGTGGACAGTGTGCTGCACTGTAACTAACCGAAAGGATGGAGTGCTTGTGCACAGTGTGAGCTCTTCCGAGTCCAACTCTTCCACTCTTCTTGTGGAGGACCCCTATATATCAAGGTGGTTCACAAGGTGTAGCCCATGTTTTTCCGACCCCAAATCGGTCAGCGAGCCAGCGGCGCTAGACCCGAGCTCCGACACCCCCCGATAATGGAACGAAAAAACGTCTCGGCGGTCACAGTCGTGATTGCTCGGAATGAAAAAATCGTCCTCGGCCCCTTGGTCCCTGTTTATCACGTGCTCGCAGCACAAGTGGTCCACTTTCCCCATCTCCTCGGCATTTGTGGCTATCAGACCATTTCACTCCTTCCTCCCATCGCCCATCACCATCTCGATTCTCTCGACCGACTCCCCGACTCCCACAACACAGTACAGTTTCAGCAATCCGCCACCAAACCCACCACTCCACTCTCTTCAATGCTACAATTGTGCGTTCCACCGCCACTCCAGTCCACTGGCACTCAAACAAATGTATGCCCCCTATTTTGGATGCTAGGTTACAAAATCGCAACTTGGAAAAGGAAGGTGACGTGCAGCTTTTTCTTAGCGATGGGGCGCGGATTATGATCCAAGGCACGTGATCGACATTAAGCATTAATTTGCCTCCTAGCTTTCAGGCGGCTATATGTATCTGCTTCAGTTTCCGCTTTCCCAATAGAGCATTTCCTCTTCAGCCTCTCAAATTATAAAGTTTCCCTCATCGTTGCTCACCCGCAAATTATCCTGCCTCCAGCTCTGTAAATTCGACCCCGCGTTGAAAATTGCGATCTCAACATGGCTTCAAAACCTACACAGCCGTAGCAGAGACCATAGTAGAGAATGATCCAGTCATCGTCATGCTCCCTGACGGCTCCGTTCGTTTCTTTGACGATTCGTCGACCCAAAACGGCGACCACCTTACCGCGCAGACCGTCCTGTCCGATTACCCTGACATGCATCTCACATCGGTCGTATCCGTCGTGTCGCCAACCACCCCTCTCGTGCCGGGTGAAACCTATTTCCTCA